TCCCTGCTGATGACGGACCTGTTGAGTGCCTCGCCCTGGGCCCTCACCATCGTCTCCAGTGAGCTGCAGCTTGCTCCTTCCATGACGCCCGTGGACCAGCTGGAGTCCCAGGTGGACAACGGTGAGAATGTGGATCATCCCCTTTAACTAGCAGAAGACAGTAGTGTGTGTGCGTGTGTAGGCTGGTGGTGTAAGAGCTAGCTTTTTGCTAAGGAAGGGAATTTGAGACTTACACTCACAAAAAGCAGGTACATTTAGAATTAAGTTAGAATTAGCATCATTTACAATTTGCTTGAGTATACCTTATTTTTTAAAAAATCAGATTCTTGATACTGTAAGAAAGTGACTGAAAAATGTAATTGAAGATAAAGTGTTTTTTCATATTTGGATTTTTTATAGATTGTTTTTTATAATTTTTAATTGATGTTTACTGTTGTTTATAATTTGAAATGGGAAAAGATGTTTACCAAAGAAACTTTGGAAAATACAGAAAAGCAGACGATAAGTTTTCTAAATTATCCAACTAAAAACAGTTTATAGAGGTGATATTACCTTTCTGGTTCAGGGTACTTTGGGCTTTTGTATATTTCTCGAGCTGTTAGAGGGAATAAAAATTAGTTTGAATGTTAACCCAAGCAAATTTGTGCTCAACTAGATTATAAGGGCAGATATTGTGAGGGGAAAAAATCATGATGTATTCTTAAGACCAAATATAAGTGAGTCATTTTATTTGCTCTGTTTAAGTGAGTCATTTTATTTGCTCTGTTTACCTGTCTCCTTGAAAAAGTAATTTAACATCTCTAAGCCTTAGTTTCCAAGTCTCTACAAATAATGTATAATTGATAAAGTATTGTATTTTGTTGTATTACTTGGATGTAAAGCTCTTTTTATAGATGAAATCACTACATGAGGATTATGAAGTCTCTTTCTTGTAGTTGTCTTACGGACTGCAGAGAGTGCCAGTGAATGTTTTTGTCTTCGTTGCCCATCTGTTGGAAATGTTGAAGGTGGAGTAGCAACTGGGCATTATATTATCTCCTGGAAGAGGTAAAATTGTATCAGCCCTACCTTTTCTTCGTTATTTGTGTTATTCTGATGCCTTTATTATGTGTCATTGTCATTTATTTATTTATTTATTTTTAATAAATTTATTTATTTATATTTAGTTTTGGCTGCATTGGGTCTTCGTTGCTGCACATGGGCTTTCTCTAGTTGCAGCAAGCAGGGGCTACTCTTCGTTGTGGTGCACGGGTTTCTCATCGCAGTGGCTTCTCCTGTTGCGGAGTGCGGGCTCTAGGCACGCTGGCTTCAGTAGTTGCGGCACGCGGGGTCAGTAGTTGTGGCTCGCAGGCTCTAGAGCACAGGCTCAGTAGTTGTGGCACACGGGCTTAGTTGCTCCGAGGCATGTGGGCCCTTCCCGGATCAAGGCTCGAACCCGTGTGCCCTGCATTGGCAGGTGGCTTCTTAACCACTGCGCCACCAGGGAAGTCCTTGTCATTGTCATTTAATAGTTGAGAGCTTGTGTCAGCCTGGAGAACAAACTAGAAGTCACATGCTGTCATTGACCTTTTGTCAAAAACACAAAGATTTAAAAGGATAAACTTGCGTTTGTGTTTGTTACAATTTGTGAACTATTACAGATGCAATTTTAGCCAAATTAATTCTGATGATAGAACCAACCATTAAAAACATTAGGAGACACTGCCCTTATTAACAGCGAATAGGATTGTTCGCTTAGAAAACCCAAGGGGATCAACAAATTATTGGAATTGTAAAGAGTCTCAGCAAGGTTGCTGGATATAATATCAACATACAGAAATCAGCTGGATTTCTGTATGTCAGTAATAAACGTCTAGGGAAGATATTTTTTAAATAGGTGTCATTTACATAACAAAATGGTAAGATACATAGGAATACATCTAGTAGAAGATGTGCATTACCTTTATGGAGAAAATTATAAAAATTTAAAGCATTAAAGGAAGACCTAAATAAATGGGAGAGATACAAAATAATCTCTGATAGGGTTTGGATAAGATTTAATATTGTAAATTGTTCTATAGATTCAATACAGTGTCCTTCAGGATCTCAACAGCTTGTTTTGTTTTGTTTTTGTTTTTGTGGAACTTGACACTCTTGATTCTAAAATTTGTTTGGAAAGGCAAAAAGGCAGTAATAGTCAAAATATTCCAGAAGTACAACTAGGCAAGGGTACTTGCTCTTCCAGATTCTAAGACTTATTGTAAGTAGTCATCACTGTGGTATTGGCTCGGGGAGATGTACATAAACCAGTGGAACAGAAGAGAGAGTCTAGACGTAGTTCCACAGATCCACACATGGAAATTACATTTCACAGAGGTAGCATTATAGATCAGTAGGGA